GGAGCTGCGGCGGGAGCAGGAGGCGCTGCACTGGGAAGTTGCGGGGGCCGGGGCTGCGCGCGGGGGCAGTGACAAGGCGCTCGGAGGAACCCCGCACGTTCAGGCCCGTCTTCAAAGCCAGCCGGCGGAGGACAATGGGGCCAGGGGTTGGTCACCCGAGGCGTGCCCGCCCTACATTTGCCACCTCCCACGCTCCTCGGCGCTCCGCCACTCCTACCCTGCCCACTTCTGGCACCCGCCGCGCCCCAGACGGCGAAAGGGAGCTAAACTGGAGATTGCCTGGAGGTAGAAAGGTGCAGCCACTGGTAATTTTCTCCAGCTGACAGGAGCCTTGCAATCCCGGCTGCCATCAAGTCCTCCACCCACTGCCCCCATCACGCGTTCCTTCAGTTTCTCGGGGCAGCAGGGAAGGAGGGGGAGCGGGAGAAGAGACAGCCCAGGGATGCCAGCTCCTGGGCGAGGTAGCCACAGAAGGAGGTTGGCTCTCACACCAGAGTCCTCTCGGAGCGACTTGGGGGAGTCAGTGCCACCCCCTGGCGCTCAGGTGAAGCAAGCCCGAACCCTCATGAAAGCCACAGTCCACTTCATCCTTCGCTAGCCAACCCTCTTCTCCCCATTTGGGAAGCCCAAGTTTACCCCAAAAGCAACTGCAATAACTTTCCTAAGAGCAGACAGATGAGGTGGGGGTGGGTTGAGAACGGGGGTGTCCGAGAGGTCTTCAGCGGCACACAAAATCAACAAGCTTTCGAAAAGCAGATCTTACCGCTGATCTGGTTCCCAGGCTCCCCTCCAGCGAACTGAAACCGGTCCATTAGAAAGTGGCAAAGTAACACAACTCCTGCAGCCGCCAGGTCGGCCCTCGGGAACCTCGCCATGCCGCCGCCGCGACCCCCCTCCTCCTCTTCCTACGCGCCAGTCCTTCCCCGGCGCCCTGGGCTCTCGGTGGGACTGGTGAGGTCGGAGCTTAACGCCGTGGAAGGTTCTCCGCGGTCCCGGGCGGCCTTTGTAAATTTCGCTGGGATTTCACAGCCCGGAGCCAGGAAGAGGAAGGGCGGACCAGGGGGAGCGCAGTCCTCTCCGGACCTCCGGTCTCTCTTCGCAACTTGCCACCGCACTCGCCGCCCTCACCCCAGACACCAAACCGCAACCGCGGGGAGGAAAGACCACCAGCAGCAGCCGGGGCTCGCCAACTCCGGCTTCCGCACCCGCAGCGCCACCCGGGTGCCTTCCGAGCCCCCGTGATGCGCTCCACTGGGTTCAAAACAGATCCAATTCCACAGCCAGCGCGGGTGCCTCCTCCAAAGGCAAGAGAGCAGTCGGATCCGAAGGAACTTTTCGCGATCTTGGGCTGGCCACCGCGGGAGGTTTGGGTTTGCGGGGAGCGGGTGACTGTGGACTGGCGAAACCCCTCCGACAAGTTTGTCTTCTTTTCTTCGCCCGACGCCAGGCGCGCGTCCTTTCTCGCCGCCGGAGGGATGGGCAGCCCGAAAGAGCTGAGCCCTGGGAAGGCTCAGGCTGCAGCACTCTTAGATCCAAAGTCAGGGAGAAATGCTGTTTTTTTAAAAAGGAAGAAGAACAAAGAAATAGGTAGGAAAAAAAAATCTGGCTGAACCTATTGAGAGAGGGTTCCTCCGGTCTAAGGAGGAGGTGGCCCCTAGCCCAACCGAACCCCGGAGTTTGGTGGCGGAGGAGACGCCGCGGTGGCCGCGCTCCCCGGCGCTCCGGCTCCAATCTTTGGGGAGGAAAGGCAGCTCGCAATTTGCCAGATCGGCCGCTGCACCCTCCTCCCACCTCCCTCTTCCCTCCCCCTCGCTCCTCCAGCCTTCTCCCACCTTCCTCCCCGAAACCGGCAGCTAGCACCGACCTGTCCAATGGCTGCACTTTCCTCGGAGCTGGCAGAAGAGTCGCCGCGAGATTAAACCCGGGGAGCCATGCAAGGGAGAGGCAGAGGGCAACTCCGGCACGGCTCGCCCCCCGCCGCTGGCGGCCCTGGGCGCTGGGAGAGGCGGTGAGAAAGCCGAGCCAGGAGGGGAGG